AAAAAAAACAAAAAAACTGAGTGGGAGTGGGCAGCGCCTGTGGCTCAAAGGAGTAGGCACCAGCCCCATATACCGGAGGTGGCAGGTTCAAACCCGGCCCCAGCCAAAAACTCTGGCAAAAAAAAAAAAAAAAAAAACTGAGTGGGAGCATTGTTCACTTGGGATGTGCCTCGTCTATTAAGAATAGTAAAACATCCTGCAGGTAGGTAGTGGCTTAAGTGTTTGATGTCATTTCTCCTGAATTCTAAAAAAGCAATCTTCATGCCAAACATTTAGCCCAGTTTAAAAGAAAATGAGTCATTAACAACCAATAATGTAGGTTTTTTTTTTTTTTGGCTTTACCAAAGGTTCATTTAATAGGTGTTGTCAGTATAGTCCAGTGGTTCTCAGTCTTCCTAAAGCTGCGAACTTTTAATACAGTCCAAAGGGGTCATTACTCATAGGTTAAGAACCGCTGGTATAGTCTATGTAAAAATAGTTAAGAATTAAGGTCAAGTAAGTACGTCTTTGGACCTGTGTTCTGTTTCTAATCAATAGGAGGGAACGCTTTGTTGGTCAAAGTGAAGGAAAAAAGGCACGACCTACTACACGCCGAGAAGATCAGAGTTTTGAAAGGTATCCAAAAAATTTCAGTGACTCCAGAAGAAATGAGCCTCCACCACCAAGAAATGAACTTAGAGAATCTGACAGGCGAGATGTACGCGGAGAGCGAGATGAAAGGAGAGCAGTGATCATTCATGACAGGCCTGATATCGCTCACCCTCGACATCCTCGGGAAGCAGGACCTAACCCTTCTAGACCAACTGCCTGGAAGAGTGAAGGAAGCATGTCCACTGACAAACGGGAAACAAGGTATTAATGCTTTCCTAGTAGAGTATTATGCATTTGGGTAAAACAAAAAAGACTACTATGAAAGTTTTGATTATGTATGTTTTTGTGTTTTGTTTAGCAGAATTGAAAGGCCAGAACGATCTGGGAGAGAAGTCTCAGGACACAGTGTGAGAGGTGCTCCCCCTGGAAGTCGCAGTAATGCATCAGGCTACGGAAGCCGAGAGGGAGACAGAGGCGTCATCACAGACCGAGCAAGTGGAACACAGGTAAATGCTGAGTAAGGTTTCTTGTCAACTCTTTTTTTTTTTTTTTTTTTGAGACAGCCTCAAGCTGTCCCCCTGGGCAGAGTGCCGTGGCATTACAGCTCACAGCAACCTCCAACTCCTGGGCTCAAGCGAGTCTCTTGCCTCCGCCTCCCAAGTAGCTGGGACCACAGGCGCCCGCCACAACGCCTGGCCATTTTTTGGTTGCAGCCATCATTGTTGTTTGGCGGGTCCGGGCTGGGGATTCGAACCCGCCACCTTAGGTGTACGTGGCTGGCGCTTTAGCCGGTTGAGCTATAGGCGCCAAGCCTCTTGTCAACTCTTTAGAAGGAAACTTGGAGGACTTAAGAGCTACTGTGTAGATAACAGTATCATTTTGATGTGGCCTAAATTAGATTGGAATGACTGGGAGATTAACTTTTTTAAAAGATCTTAATTTTTTTTTTCATGAGATACTATGAGTAGTTGAACATTGGTAATTCAAAGAGGTAGGATGCTAGCCTGAAAATATTTTATTTTAATCAAACCTGAAATTTAAGAATTGTAATATTTTGTAAATGAGCTTTCTTAATGATAACTGGTTTTGTATCTTATGAAATTGAAGCTTTCTAACTGGATCAGAAATTTTGGCCCCTCCTCTGTCTCCATTTCACTAGCTCACAGCAACCTCAAACTCTTGGGCTTAAGGGGTTCTCTTGCCTCAGCCTCCCAGGTAGCTGGGACAGTAGGTAACCTCCACAACACCTGGCTATTTTTTCTTGTTGTTGTTGTTGTAATTGTCGTCGTTTAGCAGGTCTGGGCTGGGTTCCAACCCGCCAGCTCCAATATATGTGGTTGGTGGGCGCCCTAGCCACTGAGCTATAGGCGCCGAGCCTCCCCACCCCCCCTTTTAAAAAATATTTTTCTACTTCAAGAAGTAGCATAAAGTGTAGAATTGAAGTAAAACTTTTGTTTTTTGTCCTCTCCTAAAGGTAGGTGAGTGGAATGATTTATATTTTTTAAATGCTTTTTATCTTGTGACACTTTATTGCCTTAAATATTTTATAAGTTATTGTTGTTGCAGTTCACCAGGGCAGATTTGAACCCGCCACCCTCGGTATATGGGGCCGGTGCCCTACTCACTAAGCCACAGGTGCTGCCCAATATTTTATATATTAATGAGCTGGACAAAGGAAAGTAATCTAGTAGTAACTAAGATAAGCAAAAACCTTTTGCCTAATTTAAAATCATTATACGGGTGAAAAGCTGGTAATGTGGATTGACAGTAAGCACAAATAGAATATACTTTTTGTAAATTATGTGCCAAAGAGAAATTATGTGTGTCTCTGTACAGTGGTGCTTTGTTTTCCATTTGAATACACACTGCGTTTTTTGTTTGGTTTTTTTTTTTTGAGACAGAGCCTCAAGCTATCCCCCTGGCTAGAGTGCAGCGGCTTCACAGCTCACAGCAACCGCCAACTCTTGGGCTCAAGTGAGTCTCCTGCCTCCACCTCCCAAGTAGCTGGGACCACAGGTGCCCGCTACAACGCCTGGCCATTTTTTGGTTGCAGCCATCATTGTTGTTTGGCAGGCCCAGGCTGGATTCAAACCCACCACCTTAGTTGTATGTGGCTGGTGCCTTAGCCACTTGAGCCACAGGCGCTGAGCCCACACTGTGTTTCATAACAGTGTTTTTTGTTGTTGTTTGTTTTTTAATATGGAACGCCTCCTAGATTTGCGTGTCATCCTTGTGCAGGGGCCATGCTAATCTTCTATGTATCGTTCCAATTTTAGTACATGTGCTGCTGAAGCAAGCACCATAACTGTTTTTGACCAGAATATTTTTAAATCTCTTGGCATTCCAGCTAATACTGCATATTGCTATATACTCTTGATTTCATTCCAGAACATTTATAAAACAGATTTGGGCCTGATGGCTATACCATGTAAGTTTTATTTATTTATTGACAGACTCTCACTCTGTTGCCCTTGGTAGAGTGCTGTGACAACATAGCTCACAGTAACCTGAAACTCTTGGGCTCACGCAGTTCCCTTGCCTAAGCCTCCCGGTAGATGGGACTACAGGCACCTGCCACAACACCCGGGCTCTTTTCTAGAGACAAAGTCTTGGTCTGTCTCAGGCTGATCTTGAACCCTTGAACTCAGGCAATCCACCCATCTCAGCCTCCCAATGCTGGGATTATAGGCATGAGCTACCACGCCTGGCTGGCTGTATGAATTTTAATATTTGTAATAAGTAGAAATGTTTGATAAGTTCTGATTTATCTTTCAGTTTGTGGACAGAACAGAATTTTTGTGATTGCCTTTTAAGACTAAATATATAATTGAGATACTCTGCCTTTTTAAAAAAGTAAAACGTAAGGAAGTCTCATAGATTTGTCCCCTGCATTAGGATATTTGTTTGGAAAAGGTGTCCTTAGGAGGAGATCCTATAGCCTGTCTTGAAAATTCTTTTTCTCAGTGTTAATCTTAAGTCATTCTACCAGTATTTAACTCCCTCTGTGAGGTCCCTTCAGCTTTATTTTTACAGGCTAAGTATCACAACTCTGGACTCTTCTCCACTTGGATCCATAATTCCATGACTATTGTTTCTGTATGTTCACCACTCCACATATATGTTATATATGTGGATATATACATACATATATATATATTTTTTTTTTTTGAAGAGAGTCTCACTTTATTGCCCTTGGGTAAGGTGCTGTGGTATCACAGTTCACAGCAACCTCCAACTCCTGGGCTTAGGCGATTCTCTTCCCTCAGCCTCCCAAATAGCTGGCGCTACAGGCGCCCACCACAACACCTGGCTAATTTTGTTGCAGTTTAGCTGGGCGGTTTTGAACCCACCACCCTCAGTATAGGGGGTTGGTGCCCTACCCACTGAGCCACAGGTGCTGCCTACCACTCCATTTTTTATAGTCATGGATGTGACACCTGGTAAGAGCCATAGCATCAGTTAGTATGTATAAAAGAGGATGACAGCCCCTTTTTCTGTGTGTATTTGCATGTTGTCCCTGACAGGTTGATCATATGCTCTACACTGCTTTGTCATAAGGTTTTGAGCACTGGCTGTGCCTTCTTACTTACATATAGGTCTAAGTATTTGAAATACTTGAAGGTCAAAAGGTGCTTGGGTACTAGAGGTACCGAAATAGGAATTACAGTACTGAATCATTTCCCCCATACCCTACCCTGAAGCCTAAGTAACTTCTCACTACAAAATACATAGACAATTGGGCGGTGCCTGTGGCTCAAAAGAGTGGGGCACTGGCCCCATATGCCAGAGGTGGTGGGTTCAAACCCAGTCCCGGCCAAAAACTGCAAAAAAAAATAGACAGAAACTCTTCACATACTGTTGGATTATTCATCCTTTTATCTTCTCAGGCATCTTTATTAATTTGCTTCTGACATTAAAAGCACAGCAGTATAATTGTATTGGCATGATGACACTGGGGGTGGAATGACTGTTCGTTTAATGTGCTGTTCTGTAGCACTATCCTGAAGAACGACACGTGGTCGAACGCCATGGACGAGACACAAGTGGACCAAGGAAAGAGTGGCACGGTCCTCCTTCTCAAGGACCTAGTTATCATGAAGCAAGACGAATGGGTGATGGCCGAGCAGGAGCAGGCTTGATCACCCAACATTCAAGGTAAACAGCTAATCAGTTAATGGCTTTTTATTTTTAACCTTCAGGTTAATGTGAGGGTACAAACAAGTAGGTTACAATATTTGTATTTTTTAGGTAGTCCCTCTTATAGTTGTGTCCCACACCCAAGAGGTACGCCATATATCCTTACATCATGCTCATTAAATGGGAGCACACTGATTTCTTTTTGGTTTTTTTTGTTTGTTTGTTTGTTTTGTTTTGTCAATACACAACCAAACCTTTATCCTTTCTTTTAAAGGTCATTATAGTTGGCTCAGCGCCTATAGCTCAACCGGCTAAGGCGCCAGCCACGTACACCTAAGGTGGCGGGTTCGAATCCCCAGCCCGGACCCGCCAAACAA